GGTTGACCGCGCAGTACAACATGTTGATTGCCTTGGCGTAGTTCTCCACCTTTTTGATGTCTTCGGCATCAAATTCGTCCTCGGTCTTTGGGACGAGTTTTTCATCGACCTTCTTCATTGGAGTTTCCTCGCCATTCTTGATGACCAACCACAACTGAAAGTTGGTTGAGCGGATATAAATTCTCATCCGCTCTTTTCAATATGTGTAGTTGGTGCCATCAAAGAGCGGTGGCCTAGAGGTTGATTGACCTTCTCTAATTCCTGCATAAAGATTTCTAGAAGAAGAACCCATGATCGCTTTACTCTCAAACGGTTAAGTTTGGACGCGAGTTAGGCTCTGATACCAATTGTTAGAATAATAGACCAACGCTAGAGGGGGGGTGAATAGCGTTTGATCGGAGAAATTGCAGGAATTAAAAAATTAAAAGAGAAGTAAAGAGAAGAGTAAAAGGCACACCGAATTTTACCCTGGTTCACCACAACTTGTGGCTAATCCAGCCTCCCGAGAGACTCTCTCGAGCTACACTACTAACTCGTTAAGCTTACGGGTGCTTAATAAACCGTTACAACTTGAGAGTTCGAGTCACACGAACCTCAACGAATCCTTCAAAGGAAACAGACCTTCCTTTGAATCAACCGAGAGAGATACTATCTCTCAACGTGTCTAAAAACACAAGTACACTCAAGAACGAGACTCTCTTATAGAGTAGATTATGAGTAAACTAAGTATGCTCAAGAACAACTCAACCTTCACACAAAAATGGCTCTAGAAAGCTATGGAAAATGATGATATTTGAATGCAATGAAAGTATAGATGTTGTGAAGTGAATTGGTAAGAAAAGCAGACCCAAACACCCCTTTTTATAGTGCCAAAGAAGGCTCCAACGGACCAATGCATTAAAGGGGTGATTGGCTTGATTTATGGGATTGAAAAGATTTGGGATCTGCAGAATATTGACTTCCCATCGATGTTTAGACTCAACCATCGCTGGTAAGCCAATTTTTCTTCAGTTTTGAAGTCAACGGTCACCTACCCATCGATGGGTACAAGCTTCCCATCGTTGGGTGGGAGGTTGACTTCCAAACAAGGAAAGAATCAACCTTTAATGACCACCAACGGTCAAGCTTTCCCATCGATGGTATACCCTTACCATCGCTGGGTTCCCATCGATGGGATAGGTTTCCCATCGCTGGGTAAGGTCGTTCTGCCTTGTGTTAATATTGCACCAAGGCTTTAACAGCGATGGGTAGAACTCCCCATCGCTGTTTGGCATGGTTCTGGAAGTAGGTTTGGCTTAGGGACCGCTTACCCATCGATGGGAAGATCTTCCCATCGCTGGGTGGGTGGTTAGTCAAGAACCCATGGTTTTTGCCTTAACCACGGCCTAGCCAACCGATGCGAAACCCGACCGAAAAATTCAAANTTCCCATCGATGGTATACCCTTACCATCGCTGGGTTCCCATCGATGGGATAGGTTTCCCATCGCTGGGTAAGGTCGTTCTGCCTTGTGTTAATATTGCACCAAGGCTTTAACAGCGATGGGTAGAACTCCCCATCGCTGTTTGGCATGGTTCTGGAAGTAGGTTTGGCTTAGGGACCGCTTACCCATCGATGGGAAGATCTTCCCATCGCTGGGTTGGTGGTTAGTCAAGAACCCATGGTTTTTGCCTTAACCACGGCCTAGCCAACTGATGCGAAACCCGACCGAAAAATTCAAAGTTCTCCAAAATAAAAACCAAGTGTTTAAAACACTTATTTGTTGTATTTGGCTAAGAAATCAAGTAAGACACTTTAAAAACCACGTCATTTGAGTGAAAACCACGGCTAGCCAGGATTATGCCGTTTTGAATGATTTTTGTCAAACGACCAAAAGCGAAAGATGGGTTTCAAGGTGTTTTTGTTGGAGAACCGTTTAAACATGCCAAAGAGTGAAAAACAATCATAAAAAGATGAAAACCACTTGGTTGGTTCGGACGCCAAAAACCAACGCCGAACACCGAATGCCGAACGCTGGTTTCTGAAACCCGAACGCCGGATAGCTTGGTTTTTGGTTTGGGCGAAAACCAAGTGTTTTTAATGTTTTAAACATGTTTGAAAAACATTTTTATGATTTAAGAAATGCAATGAAGGATTTTAGCCTAAAGAGCCAAGGTGTAAAGATTGGGTCGGTCTTGATCACAATGAAGACCGACTCAACGACACTAAGACTAAGGTCTTCGTTCTTGGTCTTCTTTTAGCTCTTGTTCTTGTCTTCCTTCTTCGCCTTGTATATTCAATGTTTGACTTGATCACGGCGGTTTGGCATTATCAAAACCTGTCATAAAAACAAACACGGCTTTAGTACGAAAACGTGACAAGCCCGTGTTTCAACACGGTATGGGATTTTGCTCTGTACCGATCCCGATCCTGAAATATCGGTTCGGTATGGTTCGGGATGGTTCGGTATCGGTATCGGTACAAATCGGGATAAATATACATACCTACTTTACACGTTAATATTTAACAATACCCTTTTATTTTTGAAAATTAAAAGTGAATTTAAAAAAAATGAAAAATTTAAAAAAAATGAATATTTAAATGCAAGAGATGCGTATCAAAACTTAGTTTATATTTCACAAACTAAAAAAATGAATGACAACAAAGGAGTATTTCGAATCTTTGCGAATACTTTTATGTTCATACACAAAAATTAAAACTCAAATAAAAGTATAATCTACACATCATAGAATTTGAACCAAATTTTTTTAAAAATTATTATTTAGTGAAGAAATATAAAAATATTACTCCGGAGTATCATTTTTATAATATTTTAGTATATATGTTCGGTATGGGATTTTCGGTATGGGACGTCACCTCGTACCGTTCCCGAATACCGTACCGGTCATTCGGTTCGGTACGGTTCGGTTTCTTCTCGGTATTTTTTCGGTTCGGTATTTTTCGGTTCGGTATTCTCGGGTTTTTCGGGAAATTTCGGTATCGGTTCGGTACTTGCTAACCCCTAGATCTACGCACGCCGCCCTTAGCGCATTGTACGGTCTCCTCATCTTCTTCGGATGATTCAAATCAGCCTTATGCGCCTCCACTGTTGCTCCCCACAGGATATTTTTTTTTGAACTATTGTCCAATTGACCAATTCTATTGTTCTTAAGGTGTGTGAAGCACTGAAGCACATACAGTGAAGCATTCTAGAAGTGCTTTTGATTTATATGAATAATACTCTAATGTGTTTCTACTGTTTGAGCTCGCTGCTTTGAGCGAGGAGTGTGGGGTTATATTGCTCAACTGGCTCTGCAATTGCTTTGATATGATTTGATTTGATTTGATTTCTTCCTGATCAAGTTGTTGAGATTTGTTGTTTGTTGAATTGGGAAATCGGAAGTGAGAGTTCAATTGATTTCATCAATGAGGGTTTGTTCGTCTGGGTTTAATCCTCAGACCGAGGAAGTCCCGGGTATGCTGGCCGATTTCTGCTTCAATACTACTTGATTAGTGATCTGGTAATGTGAAATTATACACTTACATATTTGACATTATATATGCATTGACATGTTTATCCGTACGCATTATTATCTTTGACATTGTGGCTTTGGTTGGCATTATAATAGTGTCAGTGCCAAGGGAAAAACTTTCAATATCATGTCAACCAAAGTCACAATGTCAAAGATTATAATGCATACTGACAATCATGTCATTGCATAATGCCAAACATGTTATTGCGTAATGACAAACATGTTAATATAAAATGTAAAAAAGAAAGTGAAATGTCAAGATTGCCAATATAGAATGTCAAGTTTCTTATCACTATCACTAAATTTTGCTAAAATTGGGAGCAATTTAAACATTACTAATTGAAAAATAACCAAACAAAAAAATTAAAAAAAAAACAATCCAATACAAAAATGAAAAAGAAAAAACCAACCCAAAATTAATGTCTAATGAAGATGCATTTTTTCATAGAAAAAAAAGATGAATGCAAAAATGCAATTACTACCTCCGTCCCAGAGTATTTGTCCACTTTCATTTTTACACACCATCCAATACACTTCTTTAATCCATTTTATCTTGTAATTTGTATATTAAAAAATTATAGAAATTATATATTAATATTCTATATGTTAACACAAATCAAACAAAATCACAAATGACTATATTTAGGCTTACATATTGAGAGAATTTGATGAGTCAAAGTGCTTAGATGAACAGTTTCAAAAGTCAAAAGTGGATAAATATAGCGGGACGGATGGAGTAGTTAGAAGTATTTCTTACTTCTACGATGCAGTCTCATTTATAAAGCATTTGAAAGCTAATTAAAAATAAAAACCATATACGGTGGAGCAGGGCACAACGGCGGCTGAAAAATTCAAATGGTGTAGTTTGAAGCGGCTGATGGTGGCAATGACGGAGATTAAAGGGAGCGACATCAATGATGGTAGAGGCATTGTGTTAGCGGTGGTAAAGGCGAGATATCAGCGGCGGTAGGGGCGTGGCAGCGGTTGGGGTGTCGGCGTTGCCGACGGCGGCATGGCACAATTGAGCAGCCATTGATGGAAATTTTGTACGGTTGAGCAGCATTGGCATGACACAATTGAGCATGGCATGATAAATTGAGTGGAGAAGAGGGCACTCCTATTTTAAGGGTTTTATCTTTTAACTCCTATTTTGGAATTTAATCAATGTTTTACTCCTATTTTGCTCCTTAACTCATATGGAAAAGAGATTTTGTCACGGCGTGATGTGTGACTACATCCATGAAAAGAGGATGACATTAGAGGGTATGACAAGCTTCATGACAAATACGAACCAAAATTAGAACTTGTTTAGAGATCGCTGTTGTCATGACTCATGACAATGTTTGCGACAAACATTTACTTGAATAATGACTAATAGATAATGACTGAAAGTGCTACATTGGGAAAAAATATATGTAGTGCTCTTTAGGAAAAGTCATTATGTTTTAGTGTTATTTACGTAAATTCTTATTTAATTTATTTAATTTTATTAAACAAATCCTGTCACAAAGTATTTTAATTAAAAAATAATTCTTGTCACGGCCTATAATTCCTAAACAAAGCCGTGACAACACTAAATTATATATACTCCCTCTACTCAAAGGATTTTCTTCTTATTTACTATTTACACGGTTAACTTTATTACTTTGTTGATTTATTTTTATTGCCCATTTGATATAAAGGTGTTGCTAAATCACCCCGATTATGGCTAAATGTACTCTATTTATATTAAATGGACAAATGTATCTTTAAAGGTTGAGTAACATCTTATATCCTTCTTTGTGTTTTTAAGGACAATGTTGTCCACTTAACCCCATAAATAAGATGGATTTAGACATAATTGGAGTGAATATAGCAACACCCTTGACATAATAATATAATATAATCATGTCATTTTTAATCTAGTGAAATTTTTTATGTAGTTTTTAATATATAATTTTTAGACAAAATATGAGTTTTCACATAAAATGATTTTAAATTTACTTCGGTCAAAAATTGTAACACGCAACGAGAAGAAATTTTTTAGATGCAGAGATGATAATATATATTCTAATCCCTTCCATCCAAATTATATTACAACGTATTCTTTGCTTTTAGATTGACTTATTTGGTCAAACTGTTCCATATATTGACTATTAATAAATATTTTTTAAATAAACAAATGTTATAGTAAAAATTTTATAGATTATATAAAAAGTACATTAATGGGATATTTGCCCTCCTGGGTCCAGGCCCAACCCAAACCCCAACAGGAGTCCAACATAGAATTAGCAAAATGAAGTGGACCACTGAGCAGGGGGCGGCCAAGTACAGGGTTGTATGACAATGGCAGAGGCAGACCAGGACGAGATTGAGCCTTCCATACTTAACACTTTCCTTGTATACTCTCTTGGGATCAGGCCTATAATTAATCCTTGTATACTCTCTTATGATCTCCGATTTGGCCTCCCTTGCCGAGTCGTTTGTTCGAGTTTATTTCTATCATAGATCATAATTAATTACAATTGGGTCAATTATATTAACTTTACATAATAACTAGTTGAATATATTTTAAACGTAGTTTATGGTCAAAGTGTAAACAAATTTGAGACGGATAAAAAACTCCTGTGTTATGAATTGGGTACTTCATTTCTTAAAAGTTGGAATATTTATACATACAAGTAAAAGGTTAAATCTAGGTAAATAAGGAAACAAGATTTTATAAGTAATAAGAGTAATATATATATCATATTTAATACGATCATTGTTCATTATACACTATCAACATTATGCTACTGGAAAATGTTAGCTAGATTTTTCAGGACCTATATTAATTGATACTACAAGATCAGTTGTCTGCCTTATTAAAAACCCTACTAAAAAACCCTGTGAGACAAAACTTAGTTGAGAGAAAAAGAGTACAATATGTATAATGTTTTCCCTCAAAATAAAATTATACTCCCCCAAAACAAATAATGTCTTTCAGTTTATGAAGTCTAATCTTCAAAGTGAGTTGCTCGAGGCTGTTACTTGATAAAGATTTGTAAGCAAGCCGGCCTACCTTGTTTTTAGTGAGCTTTAATTTTGACGAATACCAATCTCCCCCTCTTTCTAGAGATCGTACGTCGATGAGAGCTTTGGTAAAATGTCATTTAGGGGTGGCACGGATCGGGACGGTCCGGATTTTAGGTTGTCCCACATCTTATCCCGTTATATTTAAACGGTCCGAAACGATTCGGATTACAATCTAATCCCGGTTTGTCCCATAAAATTCGGGATCGGAACAAAACGAGACAGATTCGGGTCGTCCTACTTTGTCCTAATCGCAAATATAAGAAGGGGAAGAGAGTGACATTTCATTCAAAAAAAGAAACATCTAGCCATCCAACAAAAAACAATGAGTGGAACGGGTCCAAATAAATTTCAAGCTCATGAAGTTAATTTAATTAAATAACTAATTAATTAAAGAATGAGTATATTTGGATTTTGGACTAGAATTAGTATTATATATTAATAGAGTAGTTGAAACGGGACAAACGGGACGGATCAGTATAAATTTAAGCTGTCCCGCTCATGTCCCATTTGGTATTGGGACGGAACGGGTTCAGGACAAAAAAATTGTGTCCCAATATATCGGTACAATTACAAAACGGATCCGGGATTTTTTCGAGACGGTCCAATGATATATATATATATATATATATATGCTCCTTTAATTATTCAATGTTTTTACTGTGTCATCATGTCTCTTTTTTATTTGTCCATGAGTTTGTTGAATTTAATCCTTGTGTAAACTGCAATATAGTAAGCATCATTGTAGAAATAAGGGAAAGGAAGAGTTATCAGCAATAATGAAGAATAGTAAATGAGGGTAGAAGATGAAGTGGTTTTAAAAATGTATTGTTTCAATCTCTTTATATATTGAACTTTGTACTATATCACAGGGCTGATAGGTCGGCTTTGGACAAGAAAAGACACACTAATCAATGATGTCATTTTGAAAAGTTGAAATAGATCCATCACTGCACGGTTTCCAAAATATTTTGTAAATCCATGCAATTAATGCATTTTCTACAAAATATTATCTATAACTGTGCCCAAAATACCCCATGTGCAAAATATTGTATGCATGTTCAAGTACCCAAAACAAAAAAACTTATCGCAAAAAATGAAGTTGAAGTCCAAAGAACCCATCTTACATTAATCAATCTAGGAGCGAGACCATTGTGTTTGGAACTGAAATTTTCATTGTTCCACCCATTAAAGAATGGTATGTATATATGTGTAATAATATGGTAATATATATACTTGGGCTTAGAAGACAACTCAAACTACCACATTTAATGTCCAAGTACTTTAAAGATTTTTTGAATCTATTCAATAAAATTGGAATCCTTCTATTCTTAAAAGGAAGGGAAAATAGCACCCATCCTTTTCTCGCCCATCTGCTAAAGGATATAAGCCGTTGATATTTGCTAATAATTTAATCTACGGTCCATTTTTGCTGGATGAAAACAGTGAGAAAAAAAAGGAAAACGATATATACTACGTAATATATAAGTAAAGAGTACTCCGGGTATAATAAAGGCAATAATTAATCATTTAATTCCAACATCTTAAATGTCCCATTCCAAAAAAAGGAAACACATGTTTATTAAATAAATAGTGTGTGAAAAAGGAAATTATTAATGATGCATCAACGTGTATATAGGAACCGCATAAAAATTGGAAAAAGAAAGGGGACAAGGACTAAAATAGTACTCCCCCCGTCCTAATTCTTTCTTCCCAGTTTGACTTTTCCCCATTTTTTAATTTTTGGCTTTGATTTCAAATTTTACCCTTCTTAAAAAAGATTTTTTGAATTTTTTTTACAATCATTCAAAATATAGAGTTAAAAGATAATTGGTGTAAATACATGAGGGTATTAATGTCATTTGTCATATTTTTTTTCTAATGGGAAGGTAGTTTTAGGACGGAGAAAAAGGGGAAGTGGGAAGAAAGTTTTAAGACGTAGGGAGTAGTAAAACATATGACATATTCTCAAAATAAGAGTTGAAATGTAAAGTCCCTTAAATAGGAGTAATTAACTTTTAATTAATCTAATGGCTTAGAGTTAAGGAATGAAATACAAGTAAAACATTGGCCACGTAACAAAATAAGAATTATATTCATATTACAAATATGAAATTAAATACATTATATAAATTTAAAAAAACTTAAATTAGCTACAGCCCCTGCCCCATGCACATGTCACTGTCGCCACCCATGCTACCATCAGTGCCACTATCGTCGCCGTCATCGCTATTAGATGCGGTCACCATCTACATTGTTGCTACCAATCCTGCCACAAAATAGAAGTTATATTCATATTACAAATATGAAATTAAATACATTATATAAACTAAAAAAACTTAAATTAGCTACAGCCCCTGCCCCA